AGCAAAAGTTGTCTTTGATCAAAGTATAGCCTAGCTTACCTTTAGTGCTGACACTGATGTAGTTAGATGTGTGCGTCAGTGTCCTAGGTATTGTATGCTCAGGCCTGGTGGAAGGCTCAGTTTTCAACTCCATAGTTATGCAAATCCCCACTGACAGCAAATACAGTGAGAGGGGATACATCAGTTATCTGACATGGCCCCTTCCAGAACAGCAGAGAGCTCTGACTTCTAGGGCTCTCCAAGGCTTCAGTAGTCAACCCTAAATGTGACTTCACAGTGGACTGCTCTACCTGTACAGAAGCCACCTTTTACAGAAGGTAATGCTAGGCAGCATGTCAGCATGCCTCTTCTGCTTGCTGTCAAAGCCTGGGCTGCTGCAACCCTTTCAGATCCTTTCAGCAGCCCTTGTGGGTATCTGCAATGCCAGAAGAGCAGCCCTCCAACAAGGTGTACTCTTCCCAGGCTTGGGTAGGGCCAGGAGAGAACTGGCAGAGCCCACTAGCTATCCATGGTGCCACAAGCACTTGTGCATAAAGACTTTGCAGACAAGCACCCCAGCATTTAAAGGTGATGGGGGGTGGGGGGGAAGGGCCGGGAATAAATGTCACAAAGCTTTTATACTGTCCACACAGGAGACTTTATTTATAGTTTAATAAAAAATAAACTACACAAATCATTAGAGAGATTCTAGCAGAGATGCACAAGCCCCTAGGAGCTTGGGGGCTGCCTGCTGAACCACTATTTTACTTCTGGCTTTATGTCTCTTCCCATTGTTATTAGCTTGCCTGCCTCAGCACTGGGACATCCTTCAGGAAGCCATTCTTTTTCCTCTTTGATCTTCTTGGTCATTTCCTTGGCTTTGGCAGTTCTCTTCTTTCTGGTTTTGCAGTGAGGGGAGTAGAGGAACTCTGTGTTTGTAAATGGGTCACCCCGCCTCAGTTTGCTGCAGAACCAAAAGGGTTAGATTGAACCATCAAGGTTTTTCTTGAATACATGTATGATTTCAGTCTCTAAAGTTTCTGATTTTACTGAAATGCTTCCACTGTAAGATGACTGAGTGGTACAGTTTGTTCCTTGTCCAGTACAGGAACAGCTGTACCAGTACAGAGTACCTTCTGACCCAGTATAACTAACTCCTCACAGAAAGTTCAAACTGTGACACTTTTCAGGAAAAAAACCATAGCATTACCCAGTATCATAACAACAAAGTCATCATTTTAGGAGTTAAATGGTTCTGTATAGTAGCCATTGGATGCACTGAATCTATATTTTCTTAGGGAAAAGATGCAGCTATTTGTTTAGGTACTCATATCTGCCAGAAAAAGCAAATATAGATAGAGTCTGCTTGCAGGGGAGAACCCTCCTCAAAACCTAGCATTCCCTTCACTGAAACCCTATTAACATGGAAGTATTACTCAGTTGTTGTATAAAACCTTAGATATCACAGAATGGCAGCAAGTAAAATCAGGGGTTTTGCTTAGCTGTCTTTGTTTAGCTTGTATTTTATCCTCACATTAATCCCTCATTAGCACTGGTGTACCACAGATGCAGTCTGCTAAGAGATGTGCTCATTTCAGTGAGGGAAATAACATCTTTGGTAGCTTGTTACCAGAAGCCTGCATATGCATCTGTGCCAATGCAGAATTTTGGTTTAACCACACTGTGGTAGAAGAGGAGGGTCACAGAAACACAAAGGGTAAGAAGAACTTAAAGACAAACAAAGTGACAGGGGGCCTAGCCCTGGAGAGTGAGCACATGAGAGCAGAGCAGGGGTTACAGCATGGGGACAGTCATAGGAAGGAAGAGTTTAAAGCCCAACCTGTTGAGTTTCGGCTCTGCATAGCAGGCTGGGCCCCGTCTCCGCCTGGATGAGCGCCCTGACATTTCTTCCAAGCTGGAGGAAGACAGAGTCCTGGCATTGGTCAAGTCCTGTAGTGGCCTGATCTCTGCAAAGGGAGACATTCACACGAGTTGATCAAAGTGTTTCCAAATACTTTCCAGATATCCTAAGAAACACAGCTGCCAAACAGAGAAGGGCTGCATTACCAGGTTTCTCTGAACACTGCACAATCCTGAATCCAATCATGTTCCCTCTAAACTAAGGAGACCATTTTTGTCCAAATATCCCAGACCTGCTCTTCAAAAGTCAACTCATGCATCAAATTACATTCCTTATGGAAAAAATACAGGTCACTAATACTGCTAGTATCATTGGGCCCTGGTGTAGTAGAAAAATGATACAAAAATGATAGTTGATAGTTCTAATGTCCAGGAGCTTACAGCCTGGAGGAAAAAGCAAGCTTATGGCACCCAAACAACCTACAAGACTTCCAGGAAGGCACAGTACCCTGCCAGTGTTTACTGCAGCTTTCAAAGTGAAGTCAGCCAAGAAACGGAGGGCAGAAGAACCAACTTCTTCCCTCTCTACAAAGTACAGCCCACTCTAGCTATAACAGGCCTGTTTGTCAACAACTACAGGAAGGAAAAACCCCACAAAAACAACTCTCTTTACAGAGTATCCAATAACAGCAAGCTCCCAAAAAGGCTCAGCTTCACTATTGTATTACCAGCCAAGGGATACACCCTCCAAATCCTTTCAAAAAACAAACCAAAAAAACCCACAACCAAGAGAATTTAGGTAGCTCCTGATGAATTTCCATTGAAGATACCACCTAGAGGTATAAAGTCTAAAACCTTGCAGCACTAACCATTCTAGACCAAAAACCTGCCATCATCATATTCTGTGCCCCAATAATGCTGACTCTAGTAGGCAGGGTCAGTATCAAATTATACTTTTCAACTGCTTGAGTAATTGATTTTCTAAATTGACAGGCATGCCCTGTAGATAACAAGAGTGGTAAAGCAAGACTCGCAGCACATGCTCCTAGTCTTTTCCCAATATCCACACAAGTGACCAGAAATTCTTACAGGAATGCTGATAAACTAGAAGCAAATGCAGCCACAGAAATGACTGGCCAGCACAAGTGGAAGTATAAATGGTGTATTGAACACTGATCTTTAACTCTGAAAAAAGAGAGGAGGGAAAGAAAATTATAAGCACTTGCTGTATGGATTTTTGGCACTCATCTCCAAACACAGGTACCCTCCCCAGCCTACCACCTACCAGGTTCCTGTGAAGGTGAGCTCCGAGAACTTGACTCAACCTGGTTTCTTTCCCCAAGTATTTCCTCTGCAGTCTTTTCTTTAAATACCAGGGAGCTTTCCAGCCAAACAGAGGATTTCTCTGGCATTCTGTTGCCCTCAGTACTTAAGCTCTTGGAGACTGGTACATCTGTAAGCCTGGAGCTGACAAGCAAAGCTGCAGAACAGGTCACAGAAGAGGATTCAATACTGTGTGAAATGTCCATGAGATTATTTGTAAGTGGTATCTTAGCTATCTGCTCTTCCAGGAAGGCATCTGGCTCAGACAGCAGATCTGTAATGCAGGAAAACTTGCCCGTCAGGACAGTTTGATTGGATTCAAGTTCTGCTGAACTTCCAATGAGCGCCTTGGCACCATCACTTTGTCTGGCCGGGGAATCAGTCTCTGGAAGTCTAGAGGTGTTCCTCTTCCTCTGAGGCTTTGGTTTGGGATAAGCATCTTTTTTCAAAGTGTTCATGTTGTTGTCAACTTTAGCTTGCCCCTTTTCTTGAAGGCTCCCTGGCTGGTTTTTATTCCTCTGAGCAGCTGCCATCCTCTGAACTCTGGGGATTTTGCTAGCTTTGCTCCCAGGAATAGACCTGGGAGGCACAATTGGACCCCCTTCAAAATCTGTCTGGATACAACCCAAGCTTCCTGCAAGATCCAAAGGATGGACAACATAAGTTTTCCTGCTACGTTTAACATCACCTGGTGAATCCTTCATGCTCTCCTTAGCTACTTCTTGAACATCTACATATGGCCCAAAAACATCCACTTCATTTCTCTGATCACTACAACTGCTTTTCCCAACAGTCTTCTTCCTGCTTGTCTTGCTGCTTCTAGGCTGTTCTTCAGCTTTGGCCTCTGGTATTTTCACACAGTTCAACGGATTCTCCTCATCGGAGTCATCTCTTTGCCTAACTACTCTAGTTTTTCTGTTGGTTTTCTGTCTGATGCTTTTTGTGCTCACACTTGAATCCTCTTGCAAAGCACAGACACCTGAGGTCTCTTTCCTCAAGAAAAGTGAGTTTTGTAGACTGGAATCACCTGAGAGAACTTCATCACTTGAAAAGGTACAACCTGGGCTTTTTGACAAGCTCTCCATACTTTGGGTCTCAAAAATAGCTTCCTTCTTAGCCTGTTGCAGTAAGTCACCATTTCCAAGACTGTGCAGCTGTGTTAGATTCACCACATATGTTCTTCTGAGATCTTGGACTTCATCAGGAGAGCCAGAATGTTGCTCCACACCACAGTCTCTGCTCTTTCTGTTGAAAGCCCCCACACAAGCATTCTGCCTCATCTCAGAAACTTCAGACTCACTAGAACATGTTGCTACTTTTGGCTGAAGAAGCTTCTTTGCATTTTGAGCACTCTCTTCACCCTGAGCTATACCAGGACTACTTTCTGCATAGTTTTTAATTGCATTTGTTTTCTTTTTTCCTGTGCTTGCTTTTTTAACTGTTGTTTTCTCACCAGTTTTACAATTACCTTTGCTTTTAACCTTCACAGGAACAAACTCAGCGACTTGGCTATAGCTGGCGTCCATTTCAACACCACGCTCAGTTTCTTTAGCCTGTGGCTGATCACAGAAAATCTCTTTATCCAAAGATTTTCTATCAGGAATAACAGGGGTTTGAGTAGGTGAAACCAGGGAGCTGGGAGATTTCAGCTGTGGCTGTGTGTTACTCTTGCTGGAGCTGCTGCTGTCCTTTGTGATACTCCGCTGAGCTGCCCGAGTGGAACTGACACATGGGAAAATATCCACACCAGAAGATGGAGTGCTTGTTGCAAACAGGGTGGAACGCTTTCTCCTCTGAGTAACATGGCCTTGTGAGAGACGATCAAAGAAACGTTTTGCCATCTCATCGCCATCATTTGAAAAAGGATGACTCTCCCAGGCGAGCGCTGGCAAATTGTTGGGATTTTGTTGCATGGCACATAAGGCCTCTGTTGGAAAAACAAATTTCATTCCTAAGACTGAGAAATGCAGCAGGCTAATGCTAGCTTTCTCTATACCACTAAACGCCACGCCCCACACACTGCCACAAATCCAGAGCATAGAAAAAGCATGATTTTGTCTCTACAGGGACTCCCCAAACTTACTGTGTAACAGAATTGCTCAACTGGCTCCCCTCAGAACAGAAAGCCAGCCCAGAGCAACATCCCTTAACCAGCCCTAATATTTAGGAATGCTCATGATCTGTATGAGAGTTATTATTTATATGGCAAATCCACAAGGAAAAGAAGACGTGCATCTAGTCAGATTCTGCACCTTCAGACGTTTCTGAAAATCTTATGTAAGTTCAGTGCCTATTACTCAGAAAGCCTGATGAGCAATCTTGAGCTATTGCAAACATGCCAAATTTCCCCACCAGGACATCCCATTCTGGGATATATGCAATTCTAGCGATATCAGCGTCACTGAACCATGCAGTTCCTAACAGTCATTAAATGCTGCTGGAGCGATGGTTAGGAGCTAACTGGAGCTATGGCACTGCACTCATTCATTTCTGAACACAGACATGCAAAGTCATACCAGAAGAACAGCAGAAGATGCAAATTTACCTCCAAAGATGCAAGAATCGAGAAAAGCCTCTTGTGCTTCCATTGCTTCAGTCGGCTTCTTCCCATTCTCTTCCTGGTGGGATTGAGGGTTCTCAGCAGGCTGCGACTGCAAAGTGTGTTTGGAGGCAACAGGCACAATTTCCAGGGACTCAGTAGAAGCAGGTCTCTGAAGATCTAGCGAGGATGTCTGTACTGCTATAGAGTTGCCACCTTGCTGTCCTGCACCACACAGCTTGGAAATGGGCACCCTCATTGGCATCCCTGCAGCCCTGGTGAGAAGGAGAAACAGCAATGGAGCATGTTTCATACCTGTGACAGGCCCTAGAATCCAGCAGAATAGCTACAGCTTTCACTTCCATCAAGAGTTGCGGAAATACATTTCTGAAGGCTTCAAGTGCAGAAGAACACACACTACCCAGCCAGGACAGATTTCGCATTTTTCTGCAAGCACAACTTGTAAGAAAAGCACACTGCTGTGGACACAGAAGCAGGAGAAAAACACACTGAGGCAACAAGGAAGTAAGGCCTCTCAGTGCACAGGTTGCAACCACAGGTTCACCTCACTGTGGAACACCAACACAGCTGCTTAGAGATATGCCTGTGGGCAGCTCCAAGGGCACCCCTGTGTTCAAAGGGGAGACTAAACAGAGGAGAACAGAACTTCAAGTATATTTTAAAAGACCCTGCTCTTAGGTTCTTTCCAAAACACAAGTTTACATCATACAAGCAGATGACTATTAAGCATTTATACATAACAAACATCAAAGCAGCCAGCTATGGCACACACTCACTCACTCGAGGAAATCTTGCAGTGCTCACCAGCTACAAAGGAAAAACTATCTAGAAGCGATGCGCTTTCAAACAAAGGAGGGAGAAGGACCAGTTTATGTGTAGACTTAGCATTAGAACAAGTAAGACAAGGAATGGCAGCAGAAAGATACAGAATAAAGGAAAACATCAAGCAGTGGTGGTTTAGAGAAGACATCTCATGTAAAACAGACAACTGGGCACACACGTAAAACACAAGAGGAAGTTTAGCATATAGAAATTCAGGACAAGCTTGGTAATATCCGACATTTTAAGGCCCACCTCACAAGCTGACCACCTGCAATATCATCAGCCCAGCTATCTTCAGTCATGCTGCTCTTCCGGCCATTGGACAAGGATGCAGAACTTGTATAGGACTGGAAAGCAAAGAAATAGAAGGGTAGTTTAAAGCTCTTGCAATCCCCTGTGCAGCCCCCTGCACAGAAACAGCAGAAGCTCAGTTTCACCCCGGAAAGCATGCCAAATACCACCAGTGACCATCTCCCATTTAAAATTGCACAAATTATGGAATAAATTGCAGCAAAGTCAGATTCTGCCTCCACAGGCTTAAGGATGAAGTTAAACTAGTTCAGATAATCTGAGACTAGGAAGCAGGAATATTTTCCCACCCGCCCATGAGACAGAATGTATGGAAAGTGTCCTATTCCCTATCACAACTTGCCATGGCAACACTTAAAAAAAGAAACTGAAAAGAAGTCACAACCTGTCACAGCAGAATAGCCTACTGGCCAATACAGCCAACGACCCAGAGAAGGCAGTTTAAAACTGTAGCCTTTACTACAGAAGAAGTTACCCCCAGAAATTGTTAACACCAAGCTAAAAACGAGGATGCAGCCAGCACAATTCAAGCAAGCAAAGAAAAATAGTTGAAGCATCAAACACTGAAGTGAGCAGGCAACGCAAAGCAAAAGGCAGAGACAAACACAGCCCCCTTTTCCAGAGCAGTGTGCTCACATTTCCCACAATTTACCTCAGATAGCCGGGCCATCTTAACTGCAGCCACAAGGTTTTCAAGTTCTTTCAAGGTGTTATTCTATGTCAAGGTAATAAAGAGAGAGAAACCATAAAGACATTAAATCAAAACATCTATTCCAACAAGGATGCTGGTAGCCAGAGCAAGGCATGTTCTGGGGAGAACACAGCTTGGAATAAAGAATAAGCAAATGAATGGTGACATTTTTCATATGCAGATACTATGGACAATCAGCAACAGCTCAGTCCTCCCAAGGCTGAGATGCTACTGCTGCATACCTTGCCCACTGCCTCTCCCCATGCCAACCACACTGTTAGTGCCATACCAGGAAGGAGAGCTTGTGCCGCAGCAGAGCATTCTGGAAGTGACACTGCTCCACCTCCTTCTGTAGGATGGTCTTCTCCTGGGTGAGCCGCTGCGCATTGGCTTTCTCCGCATTGAGGGCCTGGGCCAGTGCTTTATTGTTGTGCTTCAGGGAGACTTTAATAGTGGAGGAGTTGTCTGTAAGGGATAGAGAAGCATCGCACAGAATCAGCATCCAAGGTCTCATCCACGCCTCTTCCCTCATCATACTTCTTCCTCTTCCCAGAATAGCCTCCCTCAGGCTCGGATGTCTACAACTCAATAGCCCCACAAAGCCAGCAGTATAATTCCTTCCAGCAATGGAGGTCTCCAGAGAACAGCAGGAAAAACTTACCATAATAACCTGCAACACTTCAGACAGACACCCTCTCCATCCTCAGTGGTTTGTGCTCAGTCAGCAAGCTACTGCTTCAATTCTTAATGAATGATGGTGTGGTTCAGGTGCTGAGTTTAGAAAGATATGCTTCTGACTTTGAACAAGTCGCCTATAGCTCTGAGTCCTCATCTCCATCCAAAAACAGAGAGAAAAACCTACCTTCCCCTGTAGCAGCCTTTGAGCAGTTTTAGATCCATGTTTCCCAATTTCAAAACAAATAAATAAAAGTAACAGAAACATCTAACTTTTTCCAAGATAGTCCAAATTATCTCGTGCACTATCATTGCATTATTTCCCCCATAAAACACAAATCACAGTTGGGCTAGCTTCTGCACAGGATTGCATCTACACTAAAATACTTTCCACATCTCTTATTTTTGCTGTTTGGACCCTGAGGACTCGGTCACCCAGATACAGCCATCTAACACCATCTGAGATGCTGCCGAGAGCAGCCTGTGATGCACCCAGCTGCTGCTCCAAAGGGTCTGCATCAAACCTGCCAGTCACAGATACCTCAGACACCTTCAGACACCTCAAGTGGCACTTGACATTCATTTGCAGGGTACTGAATTCACTAGAAACCCACAGGCAGAGAAGGAGCTGTTAAATACAAGCTCTGGGTAAGAGACCGCGGCCCACCACGGCCACAGCCAAAGGCACAGTTACAAGCTGACGTAGCTGCCAGCCTCTGCACATGCTGCAAGGCAAAATACACTCACTAATGATTTTCGTTTTGATTTTTGATGCAAGCGAGGCATTCAACTTCGCAGTCCTCAAGGCACCCTTTTTCTTCTCCCGCATCCGCTCTCTTACGCCACTCAGGCTGAAGAAGGATGTTTCGGCTGCCTCCCACGATGCCATAGCTGGAGAGAGCGACACCGAGCAGGGTTAGCACCCGTATTCCTCCCTTCGGCCGCTACTTACCGGCCAAGACTTCACACTCTCCCCGAGAAGCGTACCTGCGGCCTCGCCCCCCGCCCCGCTGACCCCCCGGGAGGACCTGCCGGCCGCAGACACAGGGCACCGCGCCGCACCTCGCCCCGAGCTGCTCCCGGCAGCGGCGGCCGCCGCGGG